CTCTCCTGCACGCGTACCTCTCCTGGAGGGCCCTCCCTCTGTACAGATGCCTCCTGCCCGTCCCTTCCACCTCCGGCCTCCAGTGGGCTCCCTGCTCGCTCTGATCCGCCCCCGCTGCCAGCAGAGGGAGCTTCCAGACCCTCAGGGCTTCCTTCCTCACCAACCCCACTGGCTCCCAGCTGCAAAAACAAATCCATGACTTAACTCCCTCTGATGGGCTGCAGTGTGGAGGGCTCTGTAAAGGATGCCCCAACATTTCAGAGTTCCTGTTGTGATTTTAAAAAAAGCTCTTCAAGCACTGATTTTTCAACCAAAGAAAAAAGCTGGACCAGAAGTTTGTGGGGATAACTCCTCCCCTAGGGAGGACAAGTCAATGGATGTGTTAATATGCCGCAGTTTCGGGCATGGAAAGGACTACTCACTACTAGTTGCACTTTGGTAATACTGACTTCACTAACCTCAAGAATTTGAAAATCACGAGGCCGGCAGGTGGCGTGGCGCTGGCCTCCCACATGGCTGCCTGCGGTTCGAGTCTTGGACCTGGCGGCTTGCTTTCTTACTTTCCCTCTCTGTCTCTCTCTGGGTGAGCACATATGCCCTAGAGCAAATTTGATGGAAAGTAGTATTAAACAAAACCAAGTCATTTTTTAAAAAAAATTATGGATTCTACAATATTTCATTGCATTATTTGTTTAAAATTTTGCCAGTGGGTGTGCACGCTTGCCAGAGACAGAGACAGAGGGAGAGGGAGAGGGAGACAGCACCCCTCCCCACGAGGCGTGGACATGCCACAATCCCTCTTTCTCATTTCTCCGTCTTGTGAGGATTTGGGGCACACAGGCCCACGTGTCCAGCGTGTTTTTCAAGCCACCCGGCTCGGGGATTGGACTGCATGCTCAAACACGTGGGGGTAAGGGTTAAGCTCCCTTAACCACTAAGACACAGGGCTGGCCCTCCATTGCATATTTAAACATGATTACAAAAATGAATCAGATTGGGACCAGCAGTTAGCGTAATGGCTATGTCACTGGACTCCCATGACGCTCTTTCTACCTGGTCACTGTGAGACCAGGCGTGACCAGTTCCCTCCTGCTGCTGCCGGGCCTTTTCCTGGACGAGGCGGCTCTTTCCTTTCCTGACTACACAGAAAGAAACACGTCTACACTTCACGCACACGCGAGGGGAGAAACACATGGCCGGTCTACGAAGCCTGCGTGTTCTCTCGGGTAATTATGACCCCCTTGGCAGTCCATATCAAACACTGCCTGTTACAGTGTCATCAGGAACATGTACCTTTGGACCTAAACGTGTCTCGATTATGCGGGATAATGAAAACAAGGCATTTACACCTCAGTTACAACCATCGGTCCACTGGGAGCTCTTCTAAACTGCTTCCCTGGGCCCCTCCGCCTGCTGGCCCTCAGCCAACTCCTGCTACTTAGAAGCAAGACGACACTGAGCCACAATAAGATGCTTCCATCGGTGAGCCTCCGAGGAGCCATGGAACAGAGGAAAGTATGAGGGACCCCTGGCAGCAGCGGCAGTCAGACAGACTTTCTTTTCTTTTTTTTTTTAAAATGTCTATAGGGTATGTGTGCTTAGCAGAGAAAGCAGAGATGGGGACAGGGAGAAAGCACCTTCTTGGGGTGCTGTCCCCCTTCAGTCCTTTCTCCTCCATTTCTCCAGCCTGTTGGGATGTGGGGCGGGTAGGCACGTGTGCCCAGGGTGTTTTTCGAGCTGTCAGGCTGCGATCCAAATTACAGCTGGCCATGTAGAATCTGGCTCCCTGAACCAATAAGCCATGGGGTCGGTCCAAAAGACCTATTTCTAAAGGTTAACTGTTTTATATTGATCTCTCTAGTGCAGACAGAAAAGAGGAAGCGGTATTCCTTTTTAACCTATTAAAGCTCAATTCAGCATAGAGTTCCATAAGAAGAAGCTTACCAGATTTGTCTTTCTGAATAGCTTTATCCTCAAAGTAGCAGAACATTACCTGGAAGCGATCGGGATCTGTTGAACGCAGTACCCTACCGAGGAGAACAGCTTTAAATAAACGTCAAATAGTCCACGCCCTCCCTTACCCCAGACGGGAGGCTGCCCAGAGCTGCTGAGGCCCTGAGGAACAGAAACCCTCCGCCGTGTACAGGGGCATACACCGACGCGACTTCGGAATGTTCCTGTATTCTTTAATCCAGCAACTCCACCGCTAGGGGTGTAACTTGCGGGTTACCAGCACAGGACTCTCATCACAGCGCTGACCGTGTTACCCAAAACGGAAACAATCTGAACGCCCTGCCTACAGGAGACAGGTCAGACGCGCTCAAGTGTACCCCTCAATGACACCAAAGCACTGTCATGGGAAGATGTCCAGGACACAACATTAAGTGAAAGAAAAGCAAGGGACGGGAAAACACATAGAGCATAATCCTCTTGACGGGTTTCCTGAAGGCCTGTGTGTGTGTGTGTATGTACACAGAGAATATGTTTCCCTAAGCAACATTTCTTTTCTTTTTTTGAGAGGTTTTTGCTATAGGGCGTGTGCACTTGCCATAAAGACAGAGAGAGAGAGACAGACAGACAGACAGAAAGCGAGAAATCACCCCCCAGGGCAGATGGCCACGCCGCAATCCCTTCTCCTCCATTCTCCTCTTGGGATCTTGGGCACGCACGCACATGCGCCCGGTGTGAGTTTAAGCCACCAGGTCTGGGATTCAAACCACAGTCAACCACATGGGAGTCTAGCGACATAACCATTAAGTAAATTACAGGTCTCATTTTTTTTTTTTTTTTTTGAAGAGAGATTTTTGCTATAGGGCGCATGTACTTGCTGAAGAGACAGAGAGAGATAGATAGAAAGAAAGTGAGAGATCACTCCCTAGGGGGATGGCCGCAATCTCTTCTCTTCCATTCTCCTCCCAGGATTTTGGACACGCATGCTACACGTGCCCAGTGTGAGTCTTAAGCTTCTGGGTCCAGGACTCAAACTGTGCTCGACTATGTGGGAGTCCAACATAACCATTACGCCATCTGCTGGTCCCTTGAAAAATTTATTTTTAACCTTGGGGGAAAAGTGGGAGAAAACGGGAAGAAACGCATGCACTTGGACCCTGGCTGCTGTACAGGGCCAGTCAGAGCGGCAGGGGCTCCGCTAAGACAGCACAGGCTTGGGGGTGCACTTTCCAGAGCTGAGCCTCGGCGGGGCGGGCCGGGTGGCTTTAGGCACGTGTATTTTGATTGCTCACACGCCCGCCCTCAGCTCTCCCTTGAGTTCTCACCTTTTCTACCTCGTGGCTTTAAGGCTCCCTCGGTAACCACGGCCGGGAACCCGAGCTGGTTCTGGGATAGAGGCTGCAGCCCTGCTCCTCTATGCTGGCAGTGGAGTGCCCTCGAGGACCCGGCAGGCCACTCAGGCTGGAGCTGGCCTTGCCGAGCTGCTTGTGCACTGACCTCCGACTGTTTTTAATCACCAAAGGGCATGTGTGCTCACCAGAGAGCGCCTGAAGGGGGGAAGACCCCCATGGGGTGTGGTCACGCTGAGGTCCCTTCTGCATTCTCCCTCCTGTCAGATCTGGGGTGTGCACACATGCCGGTGTACGGGCCTGTGCTTGCAGTACTCCTCGCCGGGGAGCTGTCGCTCAGGGCACCCCGGGGGGAGCAGGAGGTGGCCCTGCCCTCGAGCACAGGGGGTGGAGGGGTCCAGCCGCGCGGGCTACGGCTGAATCCCCGTGTTGGCTCTGTTTTGACTTGGGTCGTTTTGGCTCATTTTAATTTGGAAATGTCTTTGGGAAAAAGAGGAAGAGGAGTAGAACCAACGTGCTATAGGGGTGGTGGTGAGACCAGCAGGGCTGTCCCCCGCATTTGTTCTGCACGTGTTTGTGTAATGTTCTCACACTGCTTTTATACTGTGTGTGTGTATAGCACATAGCACTACTTATATACCTACACACATGCTATTACATGCTATACATGTACACACATACAGACTCACATGTATGTGTGTATAGCACATAGCACTACTTTTATACCCAACACACATGCTATTACATGTTATATATGCACACACATATAGACACACATGTATGTGTGTATAGCACATAGCACTACTTTTATACCTACACACATGCGATTACATGTTATATGTGTACACACACATAGATACACATGTATGTGTGTATAGCACATAGCACTACTTTTATACCTAACACACATGCTATTACATGTTATATATGTACACACATATAGATACACATGTATGTGTGTATAGCACATAGCACTACTTTTATACCTAACACATATGCTATTATATGTTATATATGTACACACATATAGATACACATGTATGTATGTGTATATATAAAATATATTAAATATACATATGCATGTGCATATATATATAAAATACATCGAGGGCTGGCAGGTGGCGTGGTGGTTAAGGGTGTTGGACTCCCACATGGCCGATCACAGTTTGAGTCCCGGACCTGGCAGCCTGCCTTCTCACTTTCCTTCTCTCTCTTTTCGATCTCACTCTATCCCTCTCTGGTCAAATTTAAATAAACGAACAAACAAAATAAAGCCAAATAATTCTTTACCAAAACATACACACACACACAAACACACACACACACACACACACATATATGAAAAGAAAGCCAAAGCGCCCTTGGTTCTGTGCGACTCTGGGAAACAGCCCACTGGTTCCCACACTGTGCTCTGCCGTGGAGCCACCAGGCAGGGAGGAGGCGCCAGAGCAGGAGGGCAGGAACATGCTCCTACTGAACCCAAATGGCCTAAATCTATTTTACATGTAGAGCTTTCAAGTCAAGCTTCTCTTTTCTTTCTTTCTTTTTTTTTTTTTTTTGAGAGGTTTTCGCTATACGGCGCGTGTGCTCGCCAGACAGACAGAGACAGACAGAGAGACAGAAAGTGAGAAATCACCCCCCAGGCGGGATGGTCACACCGCAATCCCTTCTCCTCCATTCTCCTCTCGGGGTCTTGGGCATGCACGCACACGCGCCCGGCGTGAGTTTTAAGCCACCAGGTCTGGGACGCGAACCGCGGTCGACTACGTGGGAGTCCAGCGACATAGCCATTACGCTAACTGCTGGTTCCCTCTTCTTTTTTTTTTTTTTCAGGGAGACGTTTGCTATAGGGTACCTGCACTTGCTGGAGAGACAGAGAGAGGCGGAGAGATAGAGTGAGAAAGCACCCCAGGCTCAGGGGCAGGTTCACGTTGTAACCCCTTCTCTTTCAGTTCTCCTTCCCTTCGGGATTTTGGGCACGAGGACACACATGCCTGGTGTGTTTCTCAAGCCACTGGGTCCTGGCCTCAAACCGTGTGGTTGGCCAGAGGGACCCAGTGGCTTTAATGACTGTGCACGGCCCCATGTTAGGGATGAATGCCTTGGGGAAGTGGAGTGCTCAGTGTTCGTTTCCTCTTCTGTAAAATGGGCACACAACAGGGCCCCTCTCAGAGGCTGGCTGGAGGGCGTCAGGGAACGTCACTCACACAACACCTGCACGCAGCGCACTCCGCCGGTGCTGCTACGGAGGCCGTCATGGTGGCAGAATCGCGGGTCGGGCGGTCGTTACGGGGGTCAGGACTGCTGCGGCTACAGCTACACCCTGAGCCTCAGGCCACCTGGAGGACCGCTTTGGACCAGGCCCCAGGGCATCTGCATCTGTGCTCAGCCCCAGTCCTGGACATTGGCGCAACGCGTCTCCCAACCATTCTCGGCGAGGGCTGGGTCCGCAGAGCAGCCCCCTCCCCAGCGAATGGCTGAGTTTGCAGCAGTGTGGCCGCTCGGAAGCCTACTCCCCATGAAAATGAAAACATTCTCAACACCCCTCATCATAAGGGAGATGCAGATCAAAACCACAATGAGATACCACCTAACCCCGGTCAGAATGGTGAAGGTTAAAAAAAAAAGAACGGCGGAGGGGATGTGGTGGAGGGGAATACTCCTACGTTGTTGGTGGGAATGTAGCCACGTGGAGAAAAATGCGGGGGGTGGTGGTCATGAACGACAGGCCCACGGGAAAGGCAGAGGGCACGCTTGTTTTTCAGAAAGTGTGTGTGTCTTGGGAGGAGCTAGAAAAAGTCTCACGTCCACGGCGGATTCAAGTAAAACATCCGCTCAGCGCAGGGGTGCGGGGAGGCGAGGGCTCGCGTACCTCATGTACTCTAGCCGGTACACAGACAGGAGGTAGGTGGACATGGCAAAGTCCAGCTTGTTGATGAGGGCGGACACTTCCGGAGGAGGGTCCAGCAGGTTGATGATGGTGCTGCGGAGCTCGCTCAGCTCAGCCTGGAGGGGAAGAGACGCTCACTGGGATCCCTGGGCCCCGCCCCGGGAGAAGCGGGCCCCAGGGCGGACGACATGTATGAACAAGGACAGCGGAAGGGTCTGAGTGCAAACGAGATGGGGATGCTCACGGGCGTGACCGTGTCGTTCTTCATGGCTGAGTTGTACTGGAGGACAGACCGCAGCGGCTCTTTGCTGGGAAAGGTCAGCAGGGGGGACTTGGTGGCTATTTCGCAGACCCCCTCGTACCACTCTTCTGGCCAGAGTCCTGCAAGACAGTGAATACCGTGAGACGACCGCCTTGTTCAGCCAGCGCTGCAGGGGGGTCGACGCTGACCTAGGGTCACTGGGCTTTTGTTTAATTGTCCCAGAAATGGGATCCCAGACATAAATCTGCCACCTAACTCGGGCAGACCTTCCTTAAGCGACGTGGTACTCTCAGAACGCTCAACTCCACCCAGGAAGTGCAGCATCTGCAAACACTTGTGGGAACTGGCTGCATCCGGATTCACATTGCGGGTGATCAGGGGTGATCAGGGCGTGTCTGGTCTTCACTCTGCACTCTGCCTTCCCGAGAGCGATCGACCCCCTACCTGACCCCTCCACGGCGAATCCCATCAGCACGGAATACAGCCAGAAGTCCCGGAAGAGCTTCTGTAACCGGGGCTTGGCTTCCTTGATGGGCGGCAGTCGCCTGGTGAGCTGAGGAGAGAGGGAGAAAGGCAGGCATGTGCTCATGGAACTAACACCTATGAGGAGTGGAATTAACCACAGATCCGTTCTCCACGGCTCTTCGCGTCCCTCCTACGGACTGGTTAGGAACAGGCATACTCAAGGCTTCTCAAAGACGCCACCATACATGTCAGTGGTTTATGCATGCAGGTGCTGGGCGCCCAACGTGCACTGGACACCGTGTCTGGCAGATAACCCCACCTGGGAGGCCCGTGCCTGCACGCCGAGGGCCCTCTGTCTAGTTTGGCATCGGCGGGCACCCAATCACAGCGGGACAGAGCTCTCGAAGGCATCGCGGGTCTGGAGGTTACCACGTGGGGAAAGCACAGACGGGCAGAGCAGAGAGAGTAACCCATCTGCACTAGGGAGCATCGGGGCCAAAGCCTGGGAGCGCGGGGGGCACAGGGTGCTCAGAGGGAGGGACGTGGTCGGAGCGCGGGGAGACGGTGAGGAACACTGTGGGCTGAGCAGAAGTGGCTTTCAGGCCTTTCCCAAAAACACAGCAGTCGCCCTGGCCGGAACCCCAATGTGTAGGACAGCCAAGGTGGAACTGCTCAGGTGCAGATGTGGTGAGCTGAAGTCCTCATGCCCTGGCCAACGGCACCCGGCCAGGGAGAAAAATGGTCTCCTCTGTGCACGAGGCCCAGCTAGACAGGTGGATGCTCGCAGGAGCCCTCCCAGACCCTGCTGGTATTAAGCCCCCTCTAGTGACGACCAGCCTGTGGCGAGGGGGCTTTGCTACCCCAATGCTTATGAACGCCAAGTGCAAGTCAGGCTCTGAGCCAGGGACATGGAGGTAGGACAGATGATGACACCTATTATAAGAGATGAGGGGGAGGCTGGCAGGTGGTGTGGTGGTTAAGGACACTGGTCTCCCACGTGGCTGACCATGGTTCTAGTCCCGGATCTGGTGGCTTGCTTTCTCACTTTCTTTCTCTCTCTTTCTGGTCAAATTGAAAATAAATAAGTAAATAAAATAATTCTTAAATAAAAACAAAAGAGAAGAGAGAGGTGGGGGACATAATGAGAGCACATTGACACATTGCTGGTAGATGATAAGTGGGCATGAAATTTCCTGGAAAGCAGTTTTATTACATGCATCCAAATTCCTCTTCTTCTTCTTCTTCTTTTTTTTTTTTTGTTTGAGTTTTTTGCTATAGAGCATGTGTGCTCGCCAGAAAGACAGACACAGAAAGTGAGAAATCACCCCCCAGGGGGGATGGCCACGCCGCAATCCCTTCTCCTCCATTCTCCTCTCGGGATCTTGGGCACGCACGCACACACGCCTGGCGTGAGTTTAAGCCACCGGGTCTGGGACTCGAACCGTGGTCGGCTACGTGGGAGTCCAGCGACATAGCCATGACGCTAACTGCTCGTCCTTATATGCACACAAATTCTAAATATCCCCGTATACATTTCACTCAAAATCCTATCTCTAGGAATCTATACCAAAAATCAAGCTGATTTAGGTACAAACATGCTGGAACATTCGTTATAACAGCAAAATGAATAGAAAAAAATGTCTTAAATGTCCACGCAAAGGGGCATTTAAGCAAGTGCACAGCATCTTAAGAATGATTTTTTTTTTTTTTGCCTTTTTTGTTAAGAGGATGCATGCGTTCATCAGAAAGACACAGAGAGGGGGAGAGGGAGATGCACCCCGATGGGAAACGGCCATGCTGCAAACCTTTCTCCTCCATCTCCCCCTCATGCTGGGATTCCGAACATGCATGCACATGTGCCCAGTGTGTCTCCGAAGCTGTCACGTGGCCATCATGGCTGACTGGTCCCACCTGTCTAATTTTTATTCTTCATTCACAATAGAGCGTGAGTGTGGGAGATGAGGCACTCCCCACTGTCCAGACACACTGTGATGGCCTCCGTCCAGCCCTCCAGGCTCGTGGACCCTGGGTACTTGCACGAGCCCTGCATGTTTCAGGAGGACTGGGCTGGGGATTCAAACTGGGGTGGCCATGTGGGATCCAGCTTCTTCCAAGCCGAGCATTACTGCTGCACACACGGCCAGCTCCCTGGAAGGGCGCGGATGTGTCCTCGGAGACGCACAGTCGAAGCTGGCTGGGACCCACGCAGGGAAATATTCCCGTGCTTCAGAAAAGACAGAGAGGCCAGCGTGCCGGCCGAGCTGTACTGAATGCTTCACGATGCAGAAGCTGGGTGAGAAGGACCCTGGTGTCTCTTCTTTTCTTTTCTTTTTAAAATTGTATTTATTTTAATTTGACTGGAGAGGGACAGAGAGAGAGAGAGAGAGATGCCAGGTCTGGGACTTGAACTGTGATTGGCCAGGTGGGAGTCCAGCGTGCTTAACCACCACGCCACCTGCTGGCCCCAGAAGGTACCCCCCCCCCCCCATTCTGTTCCACACTGTCTTTAGTGGCTGTGGAGCCAGTTGGTCCCAGGATGTACCTAACCTGGGCTGGCTGAAGCTGGAGGTGAATCATGGCACCAGGACCCGACTGGGGATGCTCTCTCTCACATGGAAAAAAGTAAACTTATAAATAAATAAATAGGGACCAGCTGATGGTGCAGCAGTTATGTCGCTAGACTCTCATGTGGCCGACCGTGTGCGTGAGTCCTGGCCCCAGTGGCCTCAAACTCACACTGGGTGCATGTGTGTGCGTGTCCAAGATCCTGGGAGGAGAATGGAGGAGAAGGGATTCCAATGTGACCATCCCCTCTGGCAGGTGATTTCTTGCTTTCTGGCTCTATGTCTCTCTCTGTCTGTCTGGCAAGCGCACACGCCCTATAGCAAAAAACCTCTCCAAAAAAAAAAAAAA